GATGGAGGGAGGAGGGAAAGGTCTTCCATCTGATGGTCCACTCCCCAATTGGCCACAATGGCCAGAGCTGCGCTGATCCCAAGCCAGGAGCTTCCTCCGGGTCTCCCACATGGGGGCAGGGGCCAAGGACTTGGGCCATCTTCTTCTGCTTTCCCAGGCCATAGCAGAGAGCTGGATTGGAAGAGGAGCAGCTGGATCTCGAACCTGCGCCCATATGGGATGCAGGCACTTCAGGCCAGGGTGTTAACCTACTGTGCCACAGCACCGGCCCCTCCAGTTGTATTTTCTTAGTGAATACTTTTTTTTTTTTTTTTTTTTTAAATAAATGATTGTGGGCGCTAGGGTGGGGAGATACCTGTCAAAGGATACATAATTACGGTTAGGAGGAATAAGTTTGAGATCTTTTGTGTAGCATGGTGACTCTAGTTAGTGACAATATATTGTATAGTATTTTAAGTTTCTCACAACAGAAATAACTCTGACCCTATGTAGGAAACCTGGATGGAGTTTTAGGCTCCCGGCTTTCTTGGCCTCTGCCTGCCCTGGCTTTTGTGGGCATTTGGGGAGTGAGTCAGTGGATGGAATCCCTTGATCTTTTTCTCTCTCTGCTTCTCTGTTAATCTGCCTTTCAAATGGATAAAAAATAAAGTCTAGGGGCCAGTGCTGTGGCTTAGTGGGTGAAGCCGCCGCCTGCTCTGCAGGCATCCCTGGCTGCTCCACTTCTGATCCAGCTCTCTGCTATGGCCTCGGAAAGCAATGGAAGATGGCTCAGGTCCTTGGGCCCCTGCAACCGTGTGGGAGACCCGGAGGAAGCTGCTGGCTCCTGGTTTGGATTGGTCCAGCTCAGGCTGTAGTGGCCATTTGGGGAGTGAACCAGCAGATGGAAGACTTCTCTCTCTGCCTCTCTGTAACTCTGCCTTTCAAATAAATAAATAACTTTTTTTCTTTTTAAAAATTAAAATCTTTAAAAATGTAAAGTGAAAATGTACTCGTTAATTTAACTATTTTACAATTTATACTTCACAGTATCAAGCATATAAATTAGTTTCTATCAATTTAATCAAAATTAGGGTTGAATATACTACTAGGAATTTGGGTATGGCTGTGAGTGATTTCAATAAAATCTTGTTTTTCTGTATTCTTTGCTTATTAGCATCATGATATATCTAGGTCTAGGAATGCATCTTTGCATATTTTTAGTATTTGGGCTGGTTTCTGGCTAGGTGGGATATTAAAATCTGTGTTTGAACTGGAGGAGCATATGCTTGCCTCTGCATCTATAGACAGTCTGTGGCAGGAGCTTAAGGTGGGCTGGCTACTCCAACATGGTGACATTTACCACCAGGTGCCTTGCACCTACCCCTAGAAGCGTTAAGTTAAAACAAAAGTGGCAAGTAGGCTTCACATGAGTGCACTTGGGGAAAATGGATAAGCCCTTCCCACTGCTATGATGAGTCAGTAGCATCTTCATACGTTAAAGCTGTGTGTTCAACTAGACACAAATACATGCTCCTTCAGCTACTGCAGGAGTGAACCAGTGAGAGAGAGTTAGCTTACTCTCTCTGCCTCTCAATTAAAAAAAATGCAGTTTGGCAAAGTTGTTTTTTGGACTAAAAAAAAAATTTTTTTTTTTTGACAGGCAGAGTGGATAGAGAGAGACAGAGAGAAAGGTCTTCCTTTCGCCGTTGGTTCACCCTCCAGTGGCTGCCACGGCTGGCGCGCTGCGGCCGGCACACCACGCTGATCCGATGGCAGGAGCCAGGTGCTTCTCCTGGTCTCCCATGGGGTGCAGGGCCCAAGTACTTGGGCCATCCTCCACTGCCTTCCCGGGCCACAGCAGAGAGCTGGCCTGGAAAAGGGGCAACTGGGACAGAATCTGGCGCCCCGACCGGGACTAGAACCTGGTGTGCCGGTGCCGCAAGGCGGAGGATTAGCCTATTGAGCCACGGTGCCGGCCGGACTAAAAATTTTTAAGTGCTGTTGCTAGCATACTGCTGAACTTAGGCAAAAATATATTTCTTAGGGGAAAAGTGGATGTGGCAGAGCAGTGTTATATAGTTTAGGTTTTCTAACAGTGTTATAGTTTGGAGCAAATAGATTTTAACTATTTCTGGGGTTATAGTACATTAAAAGAAGAGATAATAGGCAGCATTTTACTTAAAAGTCAGTTTTAGCCTGTTGCTCTCAGTGGGGAGTACAGGTACTTGAAACCTGGTGTTAACTTTCTAGGGGTTTTGATCCAATTGGGATTCATGGAACAAGGCAGACTGCAATTTAGTTTTAAATTGTGGATGTAGATTTAAGAGAAGGACATTAAAAGCTGCATTGGTGGGGCTGGTGCTGTGCCATAGTGGGTAAAGCCACCGCCTGCAGTGCCAGCATCCCATATGGGTGCTGGTTTGAGTCCCAGCTGCTCCACTTCTGATTCAGCTCTCTATGGACTGCCTTAAGGAAGCCTTAAGGAAGATAGGGATTTTATATTGCACCTTGAAGACCAAAGGGGAGGGGCTGGACATAAAGAATGTGGTTGAGTTTTAATCAAGAAACATAAGTCCAAATTTCCTGAAAGTAAAAGTAGTTCATCAGAATAGAAGAGTGGTCAGAGAAATGGTAAATCCATCTAAATTATGAAAGATCAACCCGGTAATTGAGTTTAAAATTAGTGCTGGCATTTGGTGTATTGTCTCAGACTGCTGCATCTCAAGTTAGAGACTCTGGTTTTGAGTCCTGGCTCTGTTCCTGCTCTAGATTCCTCCTAATGTGTACCCTGGGAAGCAGCAAATGATGTCTCAAGTACTTGGGTCCCCATCATCATGTGGGAGATCCATATTGAGTTCTGGACTTGTTGCTTCAGCCTGACCCAGCCCTGGCTGTGGTAGGCATTTGAGGGGTGAATCAGCAGATGGAACTTCTCTGTATGTCTTTCTGCCTTTCAGATAAATACATTTTTAAAATGAAAATTAAAAATTGAGATTGATACTTCTGTTGAACGTTTGACTTTCGTCAACTAAAGGTTGTTTTTAAATCACTTTTTTTTTTTTTTTTTTTGAGAGGTAGAGCTAGAGAAAGGATGAGGCAGAGAGATCTTCACTTGCTGGTTCACTCCTCAAATGGCCGGCCACATGGCCAGGGCAGGGCCAGAGTGAAGCCAGGAGTTCTGGCTCTGCTTTGTGGGTACAGGGGCCCAAGTACTTGGGCCATTTTCTACTGCTTCCCAAGTACATTAGCAGGGAGCTGGTTTAGAAGAACAGTGGGGACTCACACTGGTGCCCTTATGGGATGCCGGCATGGCAGGTGGCAGCTTTACCTGCTATGCCACACATTGGCCTCTTGCAGTTTTCCTTTTATAGACAATGAATGTATCTATGGAAACTTTGGGAGAGTGTTTCAGAAGGTAGGGTGAGGTGGGGGAAGAGAATTAATACTGGTGCCCAGATACATCAAAACTTTTGAAGTGTCTCATGTTGGACTGAATTTTTTTTTCATTTTTCAGATACTGGAGTGTATGGATGAGTTATTTTATTAAATTTGAAGTTTCAAAATAACTTTTTCTAAAAACGGTATTCCAGATCTTGATCTGTTTCTCTAAAATGTTGATATGAAGTGAGACATCATAAAAACATATGCTTTTTTGAATAAATAAATTGCTGTTTTTATATTCATGGTGTAATTTAGTGGTAGCATAGGGATTCATCACAAAAGCTTTACTTTGTTGATATTTATCTTTGGATAAATACTTGTGATAGCATAATGTAAGAAGGGTACAGATGTGGTAACTATACAGTCCTAAGTTTCAGTATTGGTGCTTTTTTGTCATAAGTTGGGGAAGTAACTTCAGAGCTTTAATTTTCTTAGCACTACCGGGGTAGTTTGGAAGATCATTATAATGTATGGTGACTGGAACATTTCTATGTAGAGGTTGCTACTTTTCATAGGAATCATACTGAGTTAGAATAAAAGTTACCACAGGGTTAGTAGAACAAGTGTAAGTATGCAAGTTTAGGCCTATGCACTCCCAACAGCTTAATGCTTTTGCTTTTAAAAGCCATGCAGATTTCTTCATTCATATTTTTTTAAAAACCATTACATGAGGTAGTGAGTGAAATGGAAAGCTGTTCTGGATAAACTTATGAATGACTCAAGGATTCTTTTTTTTTTTTTTTTCCTGCGGCCTGCGCACCGCGCTGATCCGATGGCAGGAGCCAGGTGCTTCTCCTGGTCTCCCATGGGGTGCAGGACCCAAGCACTTGGGCCATCCTCCACTGCACTCCCTGGCCACAGCTGAGAGCTGGCCTGGAAGAGGGGCAACCGGGACAGAATCCGGCGCCCCGACCGGGACTAGAACCCGGTGTGCCGGCGCTGCAAGGCGGAGGATTAGCCTAGTGAGCCGTGGTGCCGGCTTAAGGATTCTTTTTAAAAGTATGAGTACTTAGATTTATTTCAGGGAGAACTTCAGTGTTGTTGTCAGTTTTCAAAAATCCATCTCTAGGTAGATTTTGATATTTCCCTAGGAGACGAGGATGGTATGTGTGTCCTTGTTAATTGTCCACAGCCCTGTTAGTTACCTTTATTTTATTGAAAAGACAGTTGAGGTCTGTGAATGTGTCCAATGCCTTGGGACTAGTATGGGTTTTAATTTAAGTTTTTAGGATTTTTCTCACATACTATGTATGAAGGAGACATTGATGTATGTCTGAAGTTCCATATCTTGGGAGACTGACAACTGTTAACCTGAATCAGGTGTAATCTGTTTAGTAATCAGGAAAGCAATCTGTTTAGTCTTATAATGAATTTTAGAGTCAAAAATAACTTCGCATTAATTGGATTGATTGATTTTTAGTAACTACTTTGGCTTAAAATATGAGAAGTTAAAAATCCAGTTTTTGTGGGAATATTGTCTAGCACAAAATAATTAAATGCCTGTTCTTTGAAGTTTTTATTCTTAAGCAAGTTTGGGTAAGTTTTAACTAACCATTTCAACTTTTTTCTTACCTTTGTAGGAACGTCAAGGTCGTGGAAAATAAAAGGCAGTTCACCTACTGCAGCAACGGTTGCATCTGCATATCCTAAGAGGAAAAAATGACCTTCAAGAGAATTAGGACTTCTTTCTTAATTTCATTGACTTCAGAGACGATTGCAGATTTGCAGTTTAAGTATTGGAATTTCACAAAAGACATAGGACTTAACTGGAAAATAAAAAAAAAAAAAAGAAAAAGAAAAAACTAAACAAAAAATCCCTCTAGGTAGTTTAGATGAAAAATGTCCCTTTTATTTTGGCTTCGGTTGTGATTTCAGAGCATAATGCTTTGTTTTTTTGTCTTTTTACTATGTTTTTCGGATTTTTAAGTCCGTAAGTGCATACAGTTTTCTCTAATTTTTAAACCCTTTCCTCTTCCCATTTTGACATTTGCACTTGGAGAACACTTGAGTCGCGAAGGTTTTAGGTGTCCACCCCAGAAAGTGGGAATTTGATTTTTCCCTTCCGAACTGGAAGAACATTTTTATGAAGAATTTTTGTCTAGGAGAATTTAACAGTGTTACCCAAGGTTGTGTCTTTAAGGGTGGTTCATTTTCTGGCCCTTTGTTACTCAAAGTACTAGGAGTCCTAAGAAATGTTCTGTTCTTGTACATTATACTGATTAAGTCAGGATTAATTTGATTTCAAGGCTAAGAACAGTGGTAAAAACTCATTTACAGAAATGCATTTTGGAAGAGAAAAATATTGTAAAACGTGTAGTGAATGTTTCTTCAGTTTCTTGTTCAGCCAATGAGGAAAGGGCATTGCCTTTCTTTTTACCATTAATCACTTCTCAATAAACGTGAGATCCTGTTGAGCATCACTTCTAGTACCATTTAGTATTATTTGAATCTTCTCTATTTTATGAAAGATTTAGAGTGTTAGAAGAATATCTAAGATGTGAGATAGCAACTAATTTTAGGAAACATGGGCTGAGAGGAAATAGTTGAGGCTTGCTTTTGTACCCAGGACTGAATAACCATGACCTCTAGCAAGTAAGATCGCCCAGTATTCTTAGTGCTTTATTTCTGAGTTCTTCCCAGTACAAAGTCATTGATTCAACAAGTACCTGATTGTGAGTGTTTACTAGGTGTCACTGTGCTGACTTCATACAAATCCTGCCCTTGTGCAGAAATAGTGTCCTGGATAAGGGATACAGGTTTTAATTTGAAGTAGGACTTGTTTAGACAGTATTGCACATGGATTCAGTTTTCCAAAATCGTATCCCACTGGGTTTGGGTCCTTGTGAACCTTCTATCCAACCCTGATGCTTGAGTCACCCTTGTTTGTTTCCTAAGGTATGGAAGCTTCTCTGCCTATAATATTACAAAGATTTGTGGCTTCTAAGATGTCCCTATTTTGGCTAAATATGTGAAAACACCTTTCCTAAAAAGATTCTGAAAATGGGTTTTAATGCTGTTGGACAGTTTTGTCCTCACATGACTTACTAAGTCAAGGTGCCACTAGAATGAGTAAATACTGATTCCTAATTAGCATTATAATTGAAGCTGACACTTAAAATTTATAATAGGTTTTTTTTTTTTCTGCCCAGAGGCACAGTACTTCAGGCTTTTTTGAAATGCAATCCCCTAAAACCGGGGAGTTCTTTGTGTTTTCATTAGTTTGAGTATTTGCCAGCAAGAAATACAAAGGTATTTTCATTTTGAGCCCATACTTCTGTGACTTCTATAGGACTCCCTTGTGCTTTTAATATTTCACCCTCAAACAGGGAAATACCCAGAGAAAAGTAATTCTACCTATGTTTTCCTGTGTTGTATTTAAGATATCCATGACATTAATCAAAGTGGTTTTTTTTTTTTTCTCCTTAATTTCAAATGTCAGTACCTCAAGTTGTGGAAACCACTTCTTCCCAATCTTCCTTTTTAACTCACATTTAGAAAATACTGTTAATGGCTTTGGGAGTAGACTGGACAGAATTTGAAGCCCCACTAACAGGGTTACTCACCTTGGATCTTGGATTTCTATATTAAAAAAAAAAAAAAAAAAGCCAAACTGGCCTTTTCTGTAGTATGAAAAGACTAGATTATGTTTAAGAATTTGGTCTAAAGGTTGGTTTAGTGAAGATCCCAAAATGTAGCTAATTTGCCAATGACATTTATTGACTGTTCCCAAGGCTTTGTTCTGTCATTTCTAAGAGTAGTAGCTTTGAATAGCCACGATTATGATTTTGTTGATGATGAGAAGAAGCAGTCTTAACATCAGTGTCATAATTCAAGGAATTTTAAATTTCATATTAACAAAATGTATACATTACACATCTATAATTTTAGCTACATTGGATTTGCCATCTTCCTTCAGCATGTTCTTTTATTTTAAAAAAAATATTTGATAGAGTAACAGAGAGAAGTAGAGACAGATATTCCATCTGCCAATTCACCCCCAAAATGGCTGCAACAGTAATGTCAGGGGCCCAAGTACTTGACCTATCTTCCATCACCTTCACAGGCACATTAGCAGGAAGCTGGATTGGAAGAGAAGTAGCTGAGACTTAACTGGCACTTTGGTATGGGATGCTATTGGCAAGCTGGCGACTTAGCCCTCCTGTGCCACAATGCCAACCCCTCTTTTAAAGCTTAGTTTTTAAATAGTTTGACAAAAAACAATATTGAGTTCTCATATACCTTTTCATTCACCTTCCTCCAAATGTTACTATCTTGCATAAGCACAGGAAAATTATTAAAATCAGTAAGTACTGACACAGTGCTAGTAACTAATCTACAGCCCTTACTTCAGTTTTGCCAGTGGTCACAGTGATATTTTTTTCTGCTTCAGTATCCAGTATAAGATTCCACTTTGCATTTATTTTAGTCTGTTGTAGCTTGTGGCAATTCTTTAGTGTTCATCTTTCGTATGCTTTAGTAGGAGAGTACTGACCAATTCTCTTATATGATGCTTTCTGAACTGTACTTACCTCACTATTGAGGTTATTTTTCAGTAAGATTGCAGAAGTACTTTTTCCTTCTCAGTGCAGTATACCAGACACATTGCCAGTTTGATTTATATTCGGTCACTGAATTAAAGTGATGTCTGCCAGATTTCTCTTGCCAATTTTCCTTTTGTAATTAATAAGTAACTGGGGGGTGACTTTGAAATTACCATTCTTTGCTCCCCTAATTTGGCATCTTTGGATTTCTGTTGCCTGCAACAAATATTACTGTGGCACTTGCTTAAATGTTAATTTACTGTTTCTATTCCGTTTACTACTTAGAATTCTGTAAAGAGGCTTTCCTCATTTATTTATTGAATTACCTCAGTTTGGACTCATGGTTTATTCCATGGGACAATACTATTTTGTTCTTCAGATTGTCTCATCTTTGGCCACTGGGAGCTCCCTTAAGTTGACACTTGTGTCTTTTTTTTTTTTTCTTTATTTTTGAGAGCTCTCCCATCCACTCCCTATAATGCAAAGAAAGGCTCGAGGCAGGAGCTAGGAATGCAATCCAGGACTCCTGTATGGGTGGCAGGAACCCAAATCGAACCATCCTGGTTACTTCCCAAGGATCTGCATTGTTAGCAGGAAGCTTTAGTCCCGAGCCAGAACCGGAAATCAAACCCAGGCACTCAGATGTGGCACGCTGGGACCAGGACTGATGTTGAGTACTAAGCTAAACACCCACTCTGACATTCTCCCAACGTTTCAGAGCTTCCTTTCTGAAGCTACTCTTGGGTTTTCCCTGCCCCTCTCCCTGGGAAGTTTCCTTTTGTGGAAGAATATTTAGAAAGCATTTTTGGTTGAAGCAATTCTTGAAACTGCAGTGGATTATTAAAATGGGGTTGGTTTATTACCAGTGGAGTAAAAAGTGGGGGTTTAGTCTAATCAGAGTAGTTGACCACATAATTTCTTACTCCCCTCAAATAACGCCATATAATACAAGGGCTTCAAAAAGTTCCTGGAAAATTCACGTTATTTTAATTCAAAATTTTTAGGAACCAATGATCTTCTGAAGTCGCGACTTTCGGATGGGGCTCTGAGTATTGGGGGATTTGCGCTTTTCCCTAATTTGTATTTGTCCGGTAATAGAGACCCCAAATTTTCCAAGTTCTACCCAAAGGTCCTGGTTCCCACATCTTCCAAACTTGTTCGGATTCAGATCTCTTTCTGGCTGTGAGAAAGTAAAAAAATAGGCCATGTGTTTACTTGAACACTACCCCTATCGTACTTGAAAAGGGACGTGATGTGTGTTTCATCAGAGTTCTGAAAATTCTGTCCCTAGGCGTTAGGATTTGGGAAGTCGTGCCACTCTTAGGACATTATCTCTGGTGGTTTCTGAGCACTTTCCTTACCCTTGAGACGCTTTTCTTTGGAATTGTACTAGTCATTATAGCTGCTGGGTTTGCACGCAACAAGCCGCTAGGGCCGTGGGCTAAACCATCCGTCTTCAGGCCGTGAACCGGAGAAGGTCCCGCACAGACTCGGCGGCCGAGACCGGCTGCGGGGCGGGAAGCGGCTGGTCAGCGCGTGCGCGTGCCGTGCCCCGCCGATCGAGGAGGGCTCTCCTTGTTTCTGCGGACGCCCGGGTCTCCACGCTCCCCCGACCGCGGCAGCCTCCGGTTTTTGAGCCCTTTCTCGCGTGCGGAGCGGCTGCTTTACCGCGAGGGAGGGTGGGGTCAAGATGGTGCCCGCCATTCTCCTGCGCCTGCGCGAAAGCCCCGGCCCGCGCCGACCCCCGCCCTCAGGTGTGCCGGGTCTTGTGTAAGGGGCGCGGGGTTGGCGCCGGCCGGCTGCGGGGCCGCGGTGACGGGCACTGCGTACTTACAGCTTTCTCCAGCCTCACTAATGCTGACGCGAGGGGGCGGCTCCCTGAGGAAACTCCCGGTGTGCGGCGCTGTAGTTTTTTGCGCGTGAGTGCATTTACCTGTGTGTGGGTTTTCTTTTTCTTTCCCCTTTTTCTCTTGCTCATTCGTAGTTATTCAGCTTGTATTTTGTGACCTTTTGTCGGTGCTGTTGTTGGGCACCAGGGAAAGAAATGATTGAAAAATTCTTCTCAGAAAAAAGTTGAAGGAGTACACGAACACGATTGATTTGGAGTTGTGGGAGATAGAGAGCAGTGAGAACAGAAGAGGGGGTCCGGAAGTTGCCCTTCTTCGTAGCTTTCCCTCGTCTCAGGGGGTGCCCTGTGAGCCCCTTCCCAGGTTCGGCTGTCACTCACAGGCGCTCTGCTTCCTTGCTGTGACTCTGGGCAAGTCGGCGACTCGCTCAGTGCATGCATTGCCTTGCTGGGAAAAGGAAGTGGCCTCTGAAGCCACTTGGTTGTGATTTTTACAGGGATTTAACTAGCGGTTCTTTACGAATTAAAACACAAACTGTTCAGTTACATATAGAGTAAAAATGTGTGCACCTGTTGCCTTCTAGCCTAAACTCAAAAAATTTGCTGTATGACATACAGTTTATATAGCATGTATGTGTTTCTAAATGTGTGCATAAACACTTTTTTTAAAAAATGGAATAACAAACAATTGGCAGAGTTCTCCCGCTCACCCCTTTACTCACATTTCCGTGAGTTTTCTAATCTAACGCACTAAAGAAGGACCCAGAATTTCCGTGGCATCCTCATCCCATGGCCTCTGGGATCTTGGGGAGAGGAGCACCCCAACAGGCTGCATCTCCATCATCAGAAGCACCTTGGGTGGTGTCTGTCCTAATCTTGCCCTGAAGAATTGGAACCCCAGCTTTAACAGATTTCTGCTTCCCTTCCGGTTTAGAGTAAACAGTCAGTGTTTACATGAGTGTCGCTCCAGATCAAGGCATTTTGAGTGGACATACAGGACATGTCCTGAGCATGGGTGCAAGGGCAAGCTGGC